GACCTTGTTGAAGCATACGTAATCCTAAAATGTAGCATCGTACTACAGATGGCGTTTACCGCGCCATTTGTGGTATTTTCTAAAACGCGCTGTTAAGGCAGCAGGTAAAAGTTGGTCTGTGTTCTGTCGGAGCTGCCTGCGACGCGCTGATGAGATCCAAAAAGATCGAAATCGCGATCCGCGTCTGGCAGAATACAGACCACTTCGAATTATTTTATTCTACCATTAGTATATTAATCAGTAATAATTTCAATTATTATTAACGAATTAATGGTCGATGATCCAGTTATTACCGTATTATCCCATAATAAAAAACAAACAAATATAATACAATTATCCACTAAAATATGTACATTAAATTGTAAATTGATTGATTACAAGAACAACGCGATTTAATCATCCCGAGACCACGCTGCACGCCAAGGATTAACTATACTAAAGTTTCAGGTGGTCTGATATACTTAATTAAAATATTCCACGCAAATATTTTAAAAAATTTCCAAATTTTCATACTTCAATGAAGAACGTAATATCTTTTCCATAATTGTCCAATAAAATACTACAGATGGCAAAAATTAACTACTCCAATCATTCAATTTCCTACAGAAAAAGCACTGAAAATGTCTTATTAATACACTGTTTAGAATTATTCGGAAGGACAAAAACGCAATATTAAAAAACTGCATTCGATAACAATTGCTCGTATAAATATCGCCGATAAAAAAATTTCATTGTAGCAATGAAAGTTTAATTCCACTTTTGATCGCCCTGTATGTGTATGTGTATTTGATATTTGAATGTAGAAGATGTTATCTTCATATCGTTTATATTAAAATCAATCTTCGATGTTCGTGATAGAGCGACAGTCTCGAAAGATGAAAAAAGACTTCTTCTTCTCCTTCAGACTTCGTATGGAATGTGCTACGTTCGAACAATGGCTTTGGACATTCAATGGAACCATACATACTTGCATACATTCACAAACGTATACGGTGTATATTATATACACCATAAGGCCGAGATGACTCGTGTTTCTAGTTTTTCATTTATCATTTTCTCGATTCACAATGACATTCGAATGTCTCGTCCCTCTTTTACCCCCTATCAGTAAGAGACACGCAGTATGTGTAATATTATGTGGCATAATACGAACTGTAATGCCACCTCACGTACAAGTTTATTTGTGTTTTTTGTTGGATTAGATCTTGCAAAATTACATGTCTTTATAAATAAAATAAGTCGAAGTGGTCGAAATATAAATCAATTTGTATAAATATAGACAATCGTAATGATCATTCAATCAATATACATGAACTTTTACTACGAACATATGACTTTTTTATAAATATTCTCATAATCCAGTGATGAATAATAATAGATATCTATTAATGGATATTGAGATTGTACCTACTGATGGTGACCTAAAAACGGTAAAACATTATTATAGCAAAACCAATCCACTCATAACTCCCGCACCCACCTTTCGTTGCTCACCCAGAACTCAATTTTTAGTCAGTTTTAGCTCAAAATGCAGAATTTGAGAATTTATGTTATAACTGGAGGTTCCCGATGCCTCAAGCATCCTTACGGCCGGGCCACGATGAACTTTTCCAATTTTCTTGAATTTTCTGCACTTATGGAAGTCAATAAGAAACAGACGAGATAGGGTAGTAGGACACCTTCTAAGGGATGAAGGTCTAGTCAGAGACATATTAGAGGCAGAAACAGGAGTTAAGAGGAGTAGAGATAGGTCCAGATTAGTTTACTGTTCGCAAATAGTTAATAATGTGGGATGTTCTAGTAATAGTGAAATGCGAAGATTAGCTCAGGGTAGGAAAGAGTGCGTGTTCAACCAGTCTTAGAACTGACGACGTTATGATGATTATGGATACATGAACCTCGAACGATTCACGATAGTTGCGAAATGTTCTCGAAAATGCATGCACCCTTATGGCACGCGTTCCACTTACAAATGTGTGAGCCGTGTAACTGATAGTTCCGCACTCTTTTTTAATAAACGTAGTATGCTAAGAACTTCAATTTGATATATAGCACATATTTCTGGGATCTGCCTAGATGTTACTTCTGAATTGTGATAAAAAGATCCTTCTTGAAAATACATTTAGTTCTGGGTTTCTATATACGTAAATACCTACTTATATATGCTATGAAAACATTTCCAGGTGTATTTAGTTTCAACTCTATAAAAGCTGCAAACCCTCCCCAATAAAAACAAATGATAGTAGGCATTTGCAATTTTAATTATTGCACACAAAAGGTAACAGTGGCATTTCAGAGTTGATTTCAGAATTTCTTGTTGGTAGTTGGTATGGCAAGAATTACTTGTATAAATGACCAATGGATAGAGTTGAGAAGAAGATACATCTTTGGGTTGAACTATTGGTCACAAAATTTAGAATATTAAGAGTGGGTGCCAGTGAGTATTAGGGTTTGGACAACCTCTGGAATTACTGAGCCGATTCCAATATGTCTTGGATTGATAGGAAGTTACACTTTTCTTGAGTAATATAGGCAGTATTTTATTTTGATGAAAATAAGTTTTTAGCTACAAATCTGAAAATTCGTATGGTGTTGCTTTGCTGGGTGTTTTTGCGCAACCTAAATGACAATCATCAGACAACTGTCAACGGTCATCGAAAATATGGGTGAAGTAGCGAGGTTGAGGCTAGTAACATGGATACTATCAGGAGTCACACTTACCCTTGCTCGGTGTACTTGAAAATGTGCCGTTTTGCGTCCGCAATGAGGGCGGGCCTTACGAATGACGTCTATGGTAATTGTAAATGTGTATTTTGTCCATTATTATGGAATTGCTCATAAGATATGGTCACATGAAGACTATACCTGCCTTCTACGCGAATGCTTTCTGCCACGAAATTTAGAGTAGTAGTGTGACATCATTGTGGTCTAGTATCCATAGCGAGTACAATATATTTTTATACTTAATTACACTCTATCTTTAACACGATGCTCAACTCTTCATTTTTAATAATTCATCTCAGTCTCTTTAGTTCAAGCGGCAGAAGAAGATACTTTTAACGGTTTGGATTTTATATCCATATCTTGCATCTAATGAAAGTACAAAGAGATGTTTTTTCTTCGTCTAGACGCCATTACACGACACATATAAAGGGTTCTAATTGCAGTTGTCTTACATTATTAAAACTACCTCTGTATTAGAACCGTAACTACTCGAATTTCTGATTTCATTATCTCATATTTTATTATAAATTTATTACAAGCTTACAACAATAATGATATTTTATTTGAGTAGAGATATGTAAGATAGAAATTTTCACTTGTTAAAAAGGAAAAAAGTTACCCCACGAAAACTTGATGAGGATTAAAACGGCACACAACTTTTTACGGACTGTCTATTTTTACTTATATATCCACGACCCACCTGCTTTTATAACGATTTATCATTATGAGTTACTGAATACAAAAATTATTACATTGGGCTGTTACGTCACAATAAATCTGACCCTTCATTTATATCGTTTCATGATACGTCTTCGCGGAGGTCTTCAAGAATGTGCTGGTCATGTCCTTCTGCAATTGCTGCTCCACAATACAGTCTATCAGCGGTTCGATCATGAGTGCAATGCCGACCATCGACAATCGATAAGCGTTTGTTGATTTTATTCGATCTGACGAGTTTAGTCATAGGTGACCGGTGATCAATTGTTTGTTGTGATCAAAGTGTGCTGCGCGTCTTAAGTCAAACAAAATAACGCTAACATGAGCCCGGTGGTTGCTCGAATCGGAACGCGCCTGTATACATTACGCTAATTTAAATTGAACAGTTCACGAAAGTTGTTTTGGGTCAATTATTGTTTATTTGCGAGAGGGTTATCGATCAAAATCAATATCGGTTTTAACGAGGTATTTTTCTTCTAACCATGCAACGATCTGTGAAACTCCTGCTACTCGAAAAATTGTAATATAATTTCGAAACGATAACGGTATAGTTTGAAAGGGTCCAATCACAACTTGTACATCGGTACCTACAGCAAAATACTCTTGGACTAAAAAAGACAAAACTTGGATTGCATTAACTAAAATGACTAGAGATAGTAGCAATAACTTTTAAATCGAAACGAATTGTGAGCGACCACATATCAATTTCGGTATTGTCACTTGTCAAAAAATATGTTCGTTTGTATATCATTCGATTTGCCCCTACGAATTTTTCATAAGCCGGTTGTATGTATTCGTTCTTGCCGCACTCAACTCATTGTATAAAATTACTACAAACAGCGCAATGAAAATTATCTGTACAATGCCACATTTTGTGGGATTCATAAACGTTCGAGAAGATCTGTAGGGTAAAACCTAGGGGGCCCTATCGGTCGTGGGACCTTGGCCACTTGCCTAGAGTGCCCAATGGAAAAGGGGGGCTTGTCTCTACGTGATAGATACGTAACCAAACAAAACAAGGTCGGTAGGATATGAACTAGGGGGTCCTATCGGTCGTGAGGTCCGGGTACTTGCCCAGACGGTTCAATGGAAAAGAGGGGCTTGCTCCTATTTGGTAGACACGTACCCAAGCAAAACAAAAAGTTCAAAATAGTAGTCAGTTCAATTTTATAGGGGTCTTGTCAGGACGTTGTAGACAATTGTTGCCATAAGGCAAGGCTTTATGACTACAAACACCTTAATGAACGCCATCTGTAGAATGCTACATCTTTTCTTATTATTCTTTCTACTCCGTAATTTTGAATATATATTCAGTAGACTATCGGTAAACTGTGTTTACTTAGAAAATAATTATCTATAGATACATTTATTGAAGAAAAGAATGTTTTGCAATCTACATTTATGATAAATTATATGCGATACCATTCATCCTGAGTGATAACGTCTGTAATATACGAAGTATAGGTTGTATTGGTGTTCTGCTCACCTGGTTAAGATAACCAAAATGCGTTTTGTACTAAACAAATAGCTTAATAAATGGTTTTATTAATTGTACTCACTTGGCATAATCCGCTTTACAATAAACAGCCCTGTCTCGTATAAAACATGAAGGCTGTCGATCAAGTTGCAACTGACAAACGCAACATCTCAAACATCTTGCGTGCCAGTTTCGGCCAGACACTTCGAGAAGAAATTTGTCACCTATCGGCTCTCCACATGCGGCACATAAGCGGTACTCTGTCTGAAATTTAAAAATAAAATGAGCGTTTAATGTGTCTGCAGAAAAATATATTCAGTTTTTTATTGTAAAATATACACGAAGTGAAAAGGCTCTGATATGAAGGTAAGGTATCCAGTAGAATTCAGTTTATAGTGCGTTGACGAAAAAAAAAAACTTAAAAAAACTTTTGGGTGTTTCATTCCCACTAGCCAGTAATGCTGGTGGGCGGGCAGTCCCTCCGGACTACGCCGGAAGGCCCTCTTCAGCCTGCTTTCAGGAATCGTGGGAATAGGTGGGTGGTGGTTCGGGTGAGAAAGATGAGACGGACGAAATGAAGACAGAAGAGAATGAAAGATTATCTGTGGAATATTACTGTTTCAGCATTTGTCTAGGTGATCCAAGGAAACCACAGAAAAACTTGGACCAAGGCAGACGGACCCGGAATCGAACCGGCGTTCTCCCGAATGATAAGCAATGGTCTAAACGTTTATAGTGCGTTGACGACATGAGCGAAGGTTATTATATCTCATAGCCTTGGCTAGTTGGTTTTAGTAAGAGTAGGAGGAGGAGAGGATGTAGAGATGGGGTACGAAAAGTTTTCCCTCGGTGAAAGGTGTGGAACCAGAAAAATTTTTAGAGTTATTTTTATAAAATTTTGCAATTTTTAACATGTAATTAGCATTCCGCTGCTGAGGAGTAGAGGTAGACCTAGATCAGATTACTGTTCATGATCAAAAGCTAATTTTCCGTGAGTAGCTTCATTTTGATGGGACGCCCAACAACTTCTTCTAAGAAACTTTGATTGTGGTAGCTAACAGATGATGATGTGGGATGTTCTAGTTTTAGAAATATGCAAGGATTAGCTCAGGATAGGAAAGAATGGAGATGTGTGTCTAACCACTCTTAGGACTGATAACCCTATTTGATGACTGTGTAGATTAGATATTGGAAAAACTCAAAAATTAGTTATTTTATTTCTCAAAAGTGAGAGATTTCAACAACTGCCCCGCCTAAGGAGATTTTTTACCACCTGATCCCCTTTCAAAATAATTATTATCTGTTGAAAATTGCAAAATTTTATAGAATTAGAATTCAAAATTTGTTTTTTTCTTTCTTATTCCGCACTTCCTCTCAACGAGAGGAGGTTTTTACGATTGTCTTTCTTTGACAAGTGGGCGCACGTTATAACGCGAAGTCACATTAAGTTTCAACCACAGTCCATCCATCAGCCAGAATCTTTATTCTACGATGGGTTCCAGGCGTGAAAGCCTACTTAGAAAAAAGGTTTTGGGTGTTTCATGCCCACCAACTACCAATATTGGTGGGCAGGCAGTTTCTCAGACTTACACAGGAGAGTAAAGCGGAAGGCCCTGTTCAGCCTCTTTTTAGGAGTTGTAGGAATGGTGGGGGGGTTGGAAAGAGAGAAATACAAGAGAAACTAAAAGAAGTCAGAAGAGGGTAAAAGTTTATCTGTGAAATAATATTGCTCCAGCATTTGCCTATGTCATTCAAGAAAACCACAGAAAAACTTGGACCGAGGGAGACGGACTCAGACTTGCACCAGTGTCTTCCCGAATGATAAGCAACGGTCTGATCCTCTAGGTCTATGTTAAAATAAATGAAACAATATTGCCCAAAATTCTGCAATTAAGTTTGAAAACCTATAAATTATTACTTGTAAAATAATACTTTTTGTATAATGTTATTAATTCGAGATTACTTAAACTAAGGCCATACTTAAACATCAGAATATTAAAGCTGCTGCATTGTAATTCTTGTTGTACTTAACAAATGGTAACGTTATTTACGTAATTGTATTAATTTTTAAATTGGATTTATCGTTAACGAATAATAAACACAATGATAAGCTAAGCTTATGTTTATCATGAAGGATAGAGCAAGTCATGGTGGTTGCATGCGGTCTCTAGGCAGCAGATAGATAAACCACCTCTGGTATAGGTGAAAGTTTAAAAATTTCACTTTTTATATGTTCTGTTAGTTAATTATACGCAGTTCCTCCTTAGTATCTTATAATTTAGTTTTACTATATTTAAGTAAATGAAAATAAAGTATGCACTATTTGAACGGCGATGAATGAATGAAGAATGAAGTCGTAAGAAATAGGTATTGTAATGTTCGTGGGTTTAACAAATTAAACTTTTAAGACTCACAACGACAAAAACTATTTACACTAATTATTATTGAACTTAAAAACACTATTAAATTATAACTAACTTAGGTGATAAATTACTCTATTTATTTACAGTACTGTTACTAAATCACTATTCACTGCGCTGTCAATTTATTTCTTGATTCACTTCTGCAACGGTCAATTTATTTCTACTCTCTCTCGGCGATCGTCTCTTCCTTTATATACTCTTTTGTGTCCTTTCTGGAACTTTCTCGAGCCGTCCGGAAAAGTACCGTTTTCTTTGAACTGTTTAATTGCTTTCCCGGAACGCAGCTACGACACACACGTTTACAGATACGGCGCACATGCAGAAAGGCGCCCGCGGCTAGTCGGCGAATCGATAAGACGCTTACAGACACGTATGCCCGATCGCACACAAATACGCTCGTGCTCGCTACAGTATGTTACATAATCACATTGTATCTATAGACACCGATCAATATTGCATGATTTTCCTTTTGTCCGGTTAGTGAAGATATCACTTCAAAATGCCAATTTTGGACGAATAGTTACAAGAATTTACCATTAAAAGTATACCTTATCAATGACATCACAACTGCAATAAGTCTACTTTCACTTAGGCGTCAGTCAATCAATTGTCAATGGGCAATGTGGTGTACGTAACAGAAAAATGGATTATTATATAGCTGTAATATAATGTACATTGAGGAACCTAAATCCATGTGGATACGTACTATTAATGTAACTACAATTAAGCAACAAGGTTAAAATTGAAAGTTATTATTATTTATATAGGTAAGTGCTGCCGAACTGAGATGCAGAGCAATTCAATTAGTAGATAAAGAGCTATGGTAGCAATGCTCCAACATTGTTATCAAAAGTGACACATTTCTACCTGTAGTCATTTGTGTTTCTCTATTACCGTGTCCGCGTTTTTAACAAATCGATTTGACACAATTAAATTTATTAGAGCGAGCTGCAATAGAATTATTTTGAAATAAATACCCGGCGTTTTATTTTATTACTAAACAACCTTTGATTTTGTCTTGAGGAAACTTGAAGGAATATATGGTCGAGATATCATAAAATGCGTGGATAATATACCTATAAGAATATAGCGCCAGCTTTATTATTCAACTTGTTGATGTTTAAAATATGTTTTCATTTGCAGCATCACTAACTTATGTGTATAAATAACTAATGGTAGAAAGCTTGACTTGTTGAAACTCCATAATCAATTAAAGGAAAACGAAGATAAAGTTTCAAAAAAATTTATGTTAATAGTTCACAACAATTATTTCACCAAAATATTGGCTTCTTCAGGTGAAGATATTCTGATTAATATTGTTACAAAATTAGCTTAAATAAAGAGTTTACAAATTTTATGGGGTGGGAACAACTAACGAAAGGGAGGGATGAGGTAAGATTTAAGTTTTTGAATATCTTCACCTGAAGAAACCAATGTTTTGAAACAATTGTTGTGAACTATTAATATATTTTTTTTTTTGAAACTACTTTCGTAAAGGAAAGATAAAAATTTTAGAATAGCATTTATCAAAAAGGAATCACCTATTGACACATGAAGGGTTAGTTAGAGACATAATAATTGAGGCAGAAATAGGCATAAGCTGAAGCAGGGAAAGTCCTAGATTAGGCAACTGTTTGCAAGAGGTTTCGGAATGCTCCAGCTTTAGGGAAATACGAAGATTGACTCAGAATAGGAAGAAACGGAAGCGCGTGTCTAACTAGTCTCGTACTGATGATTATAGTTTGTAATTAGCTCGAAATGTTGAATACAGTTCAGAAGTTGTTTAATACGTGCACCCAAATTCTGTGGGTTATTCACGTATCTACTTTTAGCTACCCCTTTAGAATAGGCCACAAAAACGTCGAGTTTTTGCGTTAATGGATGAAACATGAATCCATCACTACACATCCAAGACAAAGCAACAGTCAAACCAATGGACTGAAAGGGGAGAATCGGCTTCACAGAAAATAAAGACGGTTCCATCTGCAGGCAAGGTTATGGCTTCAGTTTTTTGGGTACAATTTTCATTGATTATCTTGAAATGGGGAAACCCATCAAACCCAGCAACGGCCGCATTTGGCGGAAAAGAAGGTTTTGTTCCATTACAACAATCCGTTATTGTAGTGGTCAAAATCAATTATAATTAAGTACGAACTACTTCCTCATCCACCCCATTCGTCAGACTATTTTCTCCTTCAAAATTTGTAGGTAAAATATTTCGATGACGATGATGATGTCTGCAGTAGATTACTATTTTGAGGAGCTCTACGTTTCTTAATACAGTCAAGGAATTGAAGCTACTGAATATAAAGAGTGTATCGAAATAAAAAAAAGGCTATGTTGAAAAATAAATAAAGTTTTTGCCAAATTTATTGTCAGACTGATTAATTCTAGGTCTGTTCTCGTCGTATCTTACAATATTTACATAGTTATCTTGCAGTAATAATTAAATCAATACACAATCAAAACAATTTCCTCGAATAAAATTCTTTTCAACAGACAAAAATGACTTGGCGTATTTATATTGGTATATCGCAGGGGCACCTCCGCACGGTTTGTTTTCGATTACAGAAGTCTTCGGTAAAGATAGAGATCGCGCCAGTTATTCACAATCTGCTCGTCCGTTATCCTAAATCTAGCTTTGTACTTCCCACTAGGATATCTGCCACCTCAAGCCGCGGCCTCTTTTGTGCACCTCCGTAATCCGATTAGCTCGAAAGTTTAACAGCACACTCCCTTTTAATAACATTTATCATCGAAAAACACAATAGTCTGCCCACTTGTCTTCATTTTTAAACCACGGAATGCGCAAAGAAGCCACATATGTAGGTACGTACGTGT